TAGTAGAAATTATTCTACTCAGTCAGGTACATACAAAGATTGGTAGGTTTACTGTGGCAAATCTTATTAGTAGAAATTATTCTACTCAGTCAGGTACATACAAAGATTGGTAGGTTTACTGTGGCAAATCTTATTAGTAGAAATTACTCTACTCAGTCAGGTACATACACAGATTGGTAGGTTTACTGTTACAAGTTTTATTAGCAGAAATTACTCTACTCAGTCAGGTCCATACACAGATTGGTAGGTTTACTGTTACAAGTTTTATTAGTAGAAATTATTCTACTCAGTCAGGTACATACACAGATTGGTAGGCCTACAGTGCAACAGATTTGATAGATTCAGCATCACACTTCTGAAGTACTAATGGAACTTATATTTAAATGTATATGGTACTCACCCTTTGTGATGGGTGTTATTCCACAGTTGGGTATTGGTTCACATGTAAGATGATTGTCTTGACATTGGCACTTCTGGCAGTTATAGGCAATAACTCTACCAGGCTGCATAAAAAAGTAAAAAAAAAAAATCCAAATGTCAAAAAGTATCTACAAATTATTGTTGTTATAAATTATCTTGAAGCATTAGCAATAGATGTGCTTGAAGGAAAACGAAGTTTGGTAATAAACAAGATTACGACACTTATGATATACAACATTGTTTATTTAAAAAAAATGGGACATAGATAAATGTTTCGGAATTTTATCAGATTCTATCTTCAGAATCTAAAGCAAAATAAAATGAATTTACATAAGTCTTATCATAAGTGTCGTAATCTTGTTTATTATCGAGCTAGAAACAGTACTAAATAAAGGATGAACATAACTCAAGTTTACTAATCAGGTACTTGGAAGATTTGTTGTGATCGTTAAAAATAGAAAATACAATGATTAAGCTGCTGATCTATCAACAGAAATACCCACTTATCTTCGATTTAATAAAAGAACATGCATGATCAAAGAGTAAATGATTCATCCTTTGAGTTTGTGATATCATACATTATGGATGGATGGATAGATTCAAAGACATAGAAATGTGTCATTAGCATTGACATTTATCACATATATGTATACTGAGCTTAATACAATATAAAACCATACCTAGTAATTAATTATATCTGTTCAAATACCATTGGATACAATAATTAAAACATTCCATGATACAGTTAATGAGGTAAAGGCATGTATTGTTGACAATATAACATTGGATACAGTAATCAAAAATAAATGTAGACTTTTCCAACTATACCTCTTTGTTGCCTAACGACAGAACTTATCTTTTATATCAAGAAGTTTGTGTTACATAAAAAAGGGCTTATCTTTTCTATCAAGAAGTTTGTTTTATATAGAGACAAGGTTTAATTTTCCATTAAGAGCTTTGTGTTACATAAAAAAGAAATTATATATTTCAATCAATAACTTTGTGTTACATGAAAAAGGGCTTATCTTTTCTATCAATAACTTTGTGTTACATGAAAAAAGGCTTATATTTTCAATCAATAACTTTGTTTTACATAAAAAAAGACTTATCTTCTCCATCCATAACTATGTGTCATACAGATACAGTTTGTTTGTTTGTTTTGGAATTTTTGCGCAAAGCTACATGAGGGCTATCTGCACTAGCCATCCCTAATTTAGCAGTGTAAGACTAGAGGGAAGGCAGCTATTCATCATCACCCACCGCCAACTCTTGGGCTACTCTTTTACCACTGAATAGTGGGATTGACCATCACTTATAACACCCCCATGGCTGAAAGGGCGAGTATGGTTGGCGGGACGAGGATTTGAACCCGCAACCCTCAGCTTACGAGTCGAGCACCCTAACCGTGCCGGGCCACATAGATAGATACAGAATTTATCTTAGACATTATTAATTTATGTGACAAAATTATACTGCACAATATAAACCGAGTAAGCTGTAAATATTTGAATGTAAGAAATCAGGCTAAAAAGTAGATTAACCAAAACACTGGTAGAGTAGTTACTATAGATATTACTCAAAGTGATTCTGGAATAGAGAGAGCTACATTTTCTCTATTTCAGAATCACTTTAAAAGAAATACAAAAGAAACTGATTAGGAGGGTCAGGAGCAAGTGTGAGAAGTAGAAATCTTTAATGTAAGATTAATATAAAAAATTCTAAGTATCAGAAAATAAATGTTTCACTTATAATAACCTTAATATAACAATGTGTGAGAAAAAGTTTATAACATTCTCATAAAATAAGAACAAACAGTGTTTCTCACAATCACATAAATTTTAGGTAGATCATAACTCAAGATATTACATATATTTTCTTGAACAATCTTGAAAATGTTAACTAGAAATGATACTTGAAACTTGATGATGCCTTTACTGGTGAAACCATGGTCATGAATAAATGACATATTTGTAAAATGTACGGTTGTCTTCTTTTTTTCATTAAGTTTTTTAGTGAATTTTTATGATAAAACAATCTTAAGAAATACACCCAAAAATCAATAACTTGCACAGTAGTATCTTTCATCTTAAAAATGGAGGATTTGAGCATTAATAGATTTTCACTCATTTACTTACAGAGAGAATTGTCCCATCAGGCAAAACACATGTGCACTCCTCCTTACGCACACATGTGGTATAGTCTCTCCAGACATAGGGGGCACTGCAGGTTACGGTTGGTCGGCATCCAGGAATACACAGGTCTGAAGGGGTTCCAAGTGCACATTTCTGTTCATTGACAAGAAGTTTAAAAAAGGACTGGCAAGTCTGATTACAGCGGTAACCACAGTCATCATACACTTGGGTTAAAGGACACGGAGGAGCTGAAAAACAGAAGTTATTTAGTTTAATTTAAATATCATTCTGGTAAAAAGTAACATAAATAATAATTCTTAACAATTTACTTGAAACTCCTTACTTATAAGTGAATTTCTGAGAGATATGAAACTTCAATTTTATAAATATAAAAGAAGGCCTGTCAGAATTTGTTCACTGAAACACCATAAAATCAAGAGCTATTACATATGTAATACTAGTAGTTCTTTAAAAAAAAAGACGAAAATAATGATATAATCATTAACAGTATAATCGTTTTGGTACAGTAATCATACTAAAAGTTTGTTTCCTGCAGATTTAAAAAAAAGAACTATCACAAATATACACTCTGAATACTAACAGGACATATTCTGATAATTTAATGAGTTTAAATAAGTCTTCAGATATATACACAGCAACAACTGACATGTATAATAAACTATAACACACAGCAACAACTGGTTATTTTCCAGTCACACTGCATGACATATATATTAAACTATAACACACAGCAACAACTGGTTATTTTCCAGTCACACTGCATGACATATATATTAAACTATAACACACAACAACAACTGGTTATTTTCCAGCCATACATCCATGACATATATATTAAACTATAACACACAACAACAACTGGTTATTTTCCAGCCATACATCCATGATGCATGCATTAAAATATAACACACAGCAACAACTGGTTATTTTCCAGCCATAGATCCATGACACATATATTAAACTATAATATACAGAAACGACTGGTTATTTCCATACATATAAAATAGTAAAAAGCTCACCTGTAGTGACAGGTGGGACAGGTGGGACTAAAAAGATGAAAAAGAAAATTTGACATTAGCCTTTCACAGTTAGATATAGAAAACATATTCATAAAACCTTTTCATACATGCATGATGTGTACATTAAACTCTAACACATAGCAACAAGGTTAACATTTTCCTCCACTAAAAATGTATTTCTAACATATATTCACCTTACCTCACACCTTGCTTTCCCAATTCAGTGCTGCCCTCTAAATGCCAATATTTTTGCTCGCCACTAAACTAGAGGCTACTACCTAATCTTACATTTCCATTTGATATTGCTGCATTTTGGCATGCAAATCATCATGTGGCAGCCTTCTATCAGTAGGAGTGTGATACAACCTCCTAGCACAGCTGACTCCCTCTATATTGATCGTTCATTTGAGGTTAGGCAACAAAGTAAAATGAATAGATGTAATACATTTTCAGTGTGAAATTGTTAACTGCTGATACAATATGTAACCTTCAGTCACATCAAAGTGGTGGAGGGGCCGGTGCAAAATTTTGCCTAGATGAGACCTCTTTGGGAAGTACCCAAAGGAAACCCATGTAGAGCAAAACCCTCTACCTTGGAACATATTGGTTGGAGATCACTAGTTGGAGATCACACCTTGTCTGTAGCAGTGTATGCTCTTTACCGAGAAAGGAAGTGTCTAAAGATAAAAAAAGTAGTCCATAACCTGTATCAGACTTTTAAAAATGTTATATGTGTAGTGTAGCTAGGGTGCATTAAACCATACGTGGTGGGTCAATTCAAGTGCAAAATCAGGCAGCAACAGGAATTTGTCATCCAAGCATCTCTGCCATCTTCACCTCAAGCCCAATGAAGCAGAACAGGAAAGTAACATCCACCCTCTAACTGAGTATGGACTTATATTGGCTGGTCCAACAGCAATCCAACACCAGACTACTAAAACAGGCTAATACTAGGTGTTAAATTACGTAAGGAGGATGGTCAGGAATCATCTGCCTGTTTTACACATGATAGTCCATGAGTTGGTACAGTCTTGATTGTGCTTGTTTAGGAAAAATGAGCACTGTGACAATGCCCTGAGTAGTCTTGTAGAACCCCCACCTCATGGCTGAGTGGTATATCAGACCAGGATAGCCCTACATTGTATGGGGTTTCTTTAAACATATCCTGGCAGGCAACACAAGCAGGGTCCTGTAAGGTACTAGAGTAAGAAAGAAAAATAATTATCCATGCAGAAATAGTATGATATGTGAAGAATAGTGACCAGAGACATTTCATAGCCTGACAAGACAAAAAAGGGTCATATGATAGAAACAGGGTGCAACAAAACTGTGAGGGGGTCATTCTCATGCCTATCCAAAAAATCTCCTTCAACAGATTACAGAAACGAACAATCAAAGAGGGAGTGACATGACAAAACTTGAGGGGAGGATACTAGAAATGCCAATATGCATTTCCATCCAATGAAGAATATGCTAAACAAATGAGCTGTCAAAAAAAATCCTGTGAAAGTAAAGGGATAAGCATCACGATGTATGAAGGATTCCATGGAAGAAGTGTGGTCCAAAAAACAATGAAACACGTGTACAGGACAGAGAAGTGCTCTGGATCCAAACAGAAATAAAGATAAAAAAGGGGGTGGAAAGGTGTGAATGCTTTATTTACCCTCACACAGCACAAGCATTTTGGAGAGAAAATTGCCATTCAGAACAAAAAAGGCATAAAAGCAATGGTGTACATATCAGAATGCTGATGACAATAGGCATGAAGCAGGAGGAAATAAGTTTTAAAAGTAGATAGTACAAGGAATAGGAAGTCAGAGGCTAGAGGAAATGATTGAGACAAAAAATTCAATGATGGGTCACCAATCCTCACCTTCTTTGATACTACAAACAAATGGAAATGCAAGAAAACATCCAGTAGAAGACTGGGAAAGGTGTGAGGTCAGTGTCAAAAGAGAAAAATAGAAACCAGATACATTCACTCTAGATTCGATGGAAACTAGAATACCTGCAAAAAATCGAATGCCACCAAAGAGCCCAGCAACAAACAAACAAAAAGACCAAGGAGAGAGAAGAAAATGATAACCATACCAAAGTAGAAGTCAATAAATGACTAAAGATCATCTGAAAATTGAACTGGAGACCTGTGATAAGCCTCAAACAACAGTTGCAAAGAAGATAAAAAAAAACAACACAAAACTGGTGTGAGAGACAGATGAATCCAGAAAAACTGAGTTAGGTTAAGATGAACAGCAGTATCAGGCCTAGGACCCCAAAGAGGAAGAAGAGGATTTAGCCTCTGAGAAGCTAAATATGGGATCCCCAAACAATGGAAAGCTAAGGCATGCTGATCCAATAAATAGGAAGGTCAAGGCATGGCAGTATCTTCTCTCAATTGATTAGCAATGTCTGAGCAAAGGAAGATGCCAGAAAAATAAGAGTCCAAATTCTCACCAGTCCACCCCTGATCCCCCACAAGCTCTGCCTCTGAGCTGACTTAACATATGAGCACCAAATTGAGAGATGATGATTGAACAATCAGAGTCAGCTGCACCAAGAAACTGGGTCACACTCTTATTGGTGGAAGTTTGTCGCATGTTTATTTCCATGCTAAGATACCAATATTACATGGAAACACATGAAAAAAGATAGGAGCTCAAAGCTAGTAGTGAACCAAAACGTTTGCATATAGAGGGCAGCACTGTATTAGGAAAGTTAGATGTGAGAGAGGTCATGTATCATATCAGATGGTTATTTTACAGCCATATGTGCATGGCGGCATGTATATTAAACTATAATACACAATAACAACAACTGGTTATCTTCCTGTCACACTGCATAATGTGTGTATTACTATTGTATGTTTCCATATTACTAAGACTGATGAAAATTTGATTCTTTCAGCAACTAATATATCTCTGGTGATTGCTATATAATATGTTTAATGTATAATGTGGACATAGCCATTCATGTGGATGTAACTAAAATCATACAATAATTACAGTTGTATTGGAAATTTTATAGTTATGTAAAACTTTTTATTTCAAGAAGCAGAAAAGAATCCCTGTAAAATGAAAATTTTTATTAAAGTCCAATAAATAACATTATTCTCATATAACAATAAAGCATATGGTTATATATAACTAATAACAAGATTTTCAAATTTTGAATAACTGAAAAAATTTGCAAAAATGTTTTTATTTAACCATTTAGGTATGTACTTTTTTGCAGCTATATCATAAAAATTCAACAATTTTCAAGTACAAATGTTAATAATTTTTTGAATAGCAATATATACCATGTTCGATACTGATCAGTAGCTCAGATCATCAGCTAACTCCAATTAATGTGACGACACACTAAAAAACTAGACTAAACTCAAGTTATGGCTCATCATTATATTTCACTTGAGAAAAGGATAACTTAATTTTAAATGTACTAAAAGCAAGATATGATACACAATTTCGGAGTTTGGTCTTACCACAAGAGCAGTAGAACCTGACTGAATAATCTTGACACTTATGTCCTTTCTTCTGTAAGGAGTTTTGACACACCAGTCCTACTGTTGGTGAACATTTCACTCCAAAATCTCCTGATTCTGTGTAATCAACCACAGTCTTCCCAATACGAGTTTTACACTCAATGCCTGCAATGTATTTATCAAAACATACATTTCCACGCTTCTGTATATCTTCTAAAAGTTCCAGGTCTCCTTCTCCAGAAGTAGGGCTATCATTGTTAAAGAAAGGTGTCCAGCTTGGAACACATGATGGAATAGGTTTTGGTCGAGGAACGGCTGTAAACAGAACAAGAAATACTTGCTTAAAATTTTACAATTCAAACATAATAAAAACAAATTTTGTAAAATAACCCATAAAAATGTTATCATTATATCAAGATGTCTAAAAAAGTGGCTGAAATAGGTTGTGAAAAATTACATGTATTTTTCTAAAATATATGTTAAATAGAAATAACATTAGCTTCCATTTGTTTTTAACAGTTATTTAAACTTTATATTTTACAATGTTGTGAATACAAAATACTATTGAAAGTAACAGTGATAAAGATCTCTGAAGAACAACGGTATTGAGAAAACAGGCAATGAAGCTATATTAGCAAAATTTAAGAACAAACTGTTTTTGTAATTTTCACTGAATGTGAAATAACAAATATTATGGATTGATAAGTAAACATAAATAAAGCAATTCCCACAATAAAACTGTAACTAAAGCACTGGTTAAACAATGCGTCTTGCTTAAGTATCAGTGGTTTATACTAGTACAGAGACAGAAAAATAAAAAGATAAGTGTTCAGTTCCATGAACATTCCTTTATGGTGCAACAACATTTTAACAGATCAGGTGTTTAACTATATTACAGTGACAGTTAAAAAATATCCATTCTCAAACAAAGATATCATAAAAAACAAACTACTAATTTTTAAATCAAGAACTTTTAGTGTAGAATGAATCCTAAAGTAAACAGGCTAAAGTATAGAACTCGCAATAAGTGTTACTGTAGATCTTTATGGCAGACATAATAGTTAAAGTTCTAAGAGTAGATACTAATAATGAACAATAAGTTAACAAGTTAGAGTGAAAAAACTAGTTAGATGTTACTGGAGAACTTAATGGGAGAGACAATAGTTAAAGTTCAAACAGTAGATAATAATAATGAACAATAAGTCAACAAGTTAAAGAACTAGTTAGATGTTACTGGAGGACTTAATGGGAGAGACAATAATTAAAGTTCTAACAGTAGATAATAATAATGAGCAATACGTTAACAAGTTAAAGAACTAGTTATATGCTACTGGAGAACTTAATGGGGAGACAATAATTAAAGTTCTAACCGTAGATAATAATAATAATGAACAATAAGTCAACAAGTTAAAGAACTAGTTAGATGTTACTGGAGAACTTAATGGGAGAGACAATAATTAAAGTTCTAACAGTAGATAATAATAATGAGCAATACGTTAACAAGTTAAAGAACTAGTTATTTGCTACTGGAGAACTTAATGGGGAGACAATAATTAAAGTTCTAACCATAGATAATAATAATGAGCAATAAGTAAACAAGTTAAAAAACTAGTTAGATGTTACTGGATTTGATTTATGTATACAAACACTATATGAACCTCTAGGTCAGTGGTTCTCAAATTATTTTGTTTGTGGAGAACCTGAATTTGTTTTTCATCCCAACAGAGATTATGCACTACGCTGCTACTTTCTAACCAAAGACCATCTCAATGAAGCCTGTGTACCACAGTTTCAGAACTGGTGCTCTATGTTTTTGATAATAACTAATAATTAAAGATACTTTATGTAAGTCTAAAGATAAGTAAAGAAATTGAAATATTGCACAGAACTTACTTTTGGGACATTTATCACTATAGCAGAAAAATCTCACTTCATAATCATAACATTTTCCAATTTGGTACTTGTTGTAACAGCTAAATCCTGTGTCAATGTCACAAGTTACATTTTGTTTGACTTCTCGATAATCATGCTTAGTTTTAGCAAGCCGACATTCAATGGCTTTCAGTTCAGGTTTCTGACACACTCTATACATACTCTGTTGACAAAGAAGAAAACAAGTGTCCACTTTTATCAACTATAAATATATAAACTTCAAACACAAATAATCATTAAACTGATATGCTACCAGTATTATATATAGAGATACTATCAAACAATTAGATACACAACCATTAGAATTTAGACCTCATCTCACACAATTAAATAAACAACCAGTATTATATAGAGTAACATCATACAATTAGTATTATATAGACCTCATATTACATAATTAGATTTACAACATATCATAGACCTCATATCATACAAATATTTATACAACCAGTAGTATTTAGACCTCATATCATACCATTGATCAAGTGAAAATTTTACCTTGATATCCTTATTATGCCACTGATAAATATCAACAATAATTTATTAAATGTAAGAAAGGCCACTGACAGAAAATAATTACTTGCTTCTAGCAACTTTAATAAACTGTGTTACTTGCTGTTCAGTGACTCCAACTTTTGTAAAATTCTAGAAAACAAATCAAAATTTGTCCATACAATGCATAAACAGCAATTTCTTATCATCATAAGATAATTATTTGTGTAAATTCTTTTAAATACACAAAAAAGGCACAAATCAATTCTAAGTAGTGATCAATTTATTTCAAGTATTTGAGTTCTTTGAGTTACACATAGAACAGCTTTCACATACAAGGTTTATTCAGAAAAATAATGTGAAATTTGGTTAATATACACAATATTTTACAATACTACTTTTCTCTATTTTACAAGTTTACACTTTTACATTTTGACTGATTCTAAAGTAATAAACTCTTCATATATATTACTTTTATGATTTTGATAAAATTGTAAACAGAATGCAAGTTAGAAATACTATCTCAAATAATGATTTTATCATTTATTAGTTCACAAAATCCCTAATAGAAGTATTAGTTCAAGAATCCTGTTATGATATAAAAAAGTATATTCTTTGTCATCACAATTTAATGATTATTTAAATAAAATTCCAACTATCTTTTAACAACTAATAATGAAGACTATTTCTTCAATCTTCTTGTAGTGCCATACATTTAGCTCTGTGGCTTATTGTTAAAAACATATTTGCACTATTGCACAGAGTTCATTAAATATTTCTAAGAACCCATGAATGAAAGCAAAGGATAACATGCTAAGATATTTCAACCACACTAAATCTACATATCCAGTGCCATCAAGGCCTTTAATACAATATCAGGGCTCACAAAAACCAGCTGGGATACGACAGAGGTAGTAGTGGCCTAGGCACTATACCAGGGCCATAGCCAGGTTCAGGCAGAGGAGGCAGTTGCCTCCTCACTTTTTCCCAAAAACTGGGAGATACATTTATGGAAAACTCTAACATTGGAAAAAAATTAAATGTCATCAATAGAAAAGCAACTCCAATCAGTCAATGAAAGGGCCCAAAGCAATTTTATAATTGCTCTTTATATTATGTATTATTTAAAAACAGCAAATGCATTTCCAATGCATCAAAAAAGGTGCCCAATTAGTTTTTAACTGCTCTGTACAATATTTATTATTTAAAAACTGACATACACATACACATTAGTTAAGTTTAACAACTGCTCACCATTGACTGTTTTATACTTCATATCTGACTGATTACTGACTTTAAACTTCATATTTGACTGTTTGACTGGCCTTAAACTTCATATCTGACTGATTACTGACTTTAAACTTCATATTTGACTGGCCTTAAACTCTTTGTATCTGCTGACAGTTTTCAACTTCAGATCTGTTTTTGAATGGTTTGAAACTGGATTGTCAGTAAATTTTACACTTCATATCTGACTGATTACCGATTTTAAACTTCATATCTGACTGTTAGTTAATTTTACACTTCATATCTGGCTGTAGGTTAATTTTAGACTTCAAATCTGACCATTAGTGGGTTTAAACTTCATATCTGACTGTCAGTTAATTATAGACTTTATATCTGACTGCCAGTTAATTTTAGACTTCATATCTGACTGTTAGTTAATTTCAGACTATATATCTTACCATTCACTGGTTTTAAACTTCAAATCTGACTGTCTGTTAATTTTAGACTTCATATCTGACCTTTCACTGGTTTTAAACTTTGTATCTGACTGTCTGTTAATTTTAGACTTCATATCTGACTATATACTGGTTTTAAACTTCAAATCTGACTGTTGACTCATTTTCAACTATTCTTACTTGAGTTTTCAGTGGTTTGAAGTTGTCGAAATATGTTTGTTGATTTGTTCTAAACTGTCCATATTTCACTGTTCACTTGTTTAAAGACTTTGAAATTATTTATATCTTACTGCTGACTGATTTGAAACTTTTTGTATTTGACTGTTTACTGATATGAAAATATCTATACATGTGTGTTTAATTGTTTGAAACTGTTTATACATGACTGTTTACTGGTTTTAAACTAATAATTTATGAGTGTTGACTGATTTAAACTGTTCATATCTCACTGTTCACTTGTTTACAGTCTGAAATAATTTATATTTCACTGTTGTCTGGTTTGAAACTATCCATATATAGGGTGTACCAGAAGTCTGGGCCTATAGGGAACAACATACACAATTTATTCTTAAATTTAGTTATTATTAAAATTGCATGCCATTAACAGCCATACATATATGCATTCTAGGTATACTGTGCCATCAGGGTATCTGCTTTCCTGAAATATATACAACTGACATCAGAAATGATTTTGTTTAACTTTAAGAATATAATTTTTATTTTCCCTATAGGCCCAGACTTCTGGGACACCCTGTACAAATGTTAACTGGCTTAATGGTCTTATATTTTTTAAAGTTAAAACAATATACCCTTATTTGTTGACAAGGAATCCACTTTGAGACTAATAATGGTTGGAGATGGCTTGAATGGGTAATGACGAAACACTTTAATATAAGTTTAACATAACAGCAAATGTACAACGTTTCAACAAGATTTTGTCATCATGAGGGTGTCAGATTTACTTCCAGTTCTTTGGTTTAACACACACACACATATATACATAAATCTTTACAAGCTAGTTCAATCTGTACATGGTGATGACTCCACTAGGAAAAACCATGGTCAAAAGAAAGTGAAGTATCTGTGAAACATATGATTGTTTTTGTTTTTCTCAATTCTATAAAATTTATTTTACAAAACCCTGAGTATAAAAAGATAAAATGATAATAAGAAGCTAACCTTTTTAATGTTGCACAGAAAATCTAATAAAGTTTCTTGTACATTCTAGAATAAACTTTACCTTACTTTCAAATAATAAACCACTCAAGTGTGATTTACAGTAAATTACTTACCAAGTAGATATCTATCACCAATATTAGTTGGTATGGTATTTGTAATTTGTATAGAATTATTTCAATAATAAGAAATATCAAAATAACTGTCCATTTCAATATACTACTGATGTATATATGATCTATACCTGATACATTTTGATAGGTTCAAAATCTCCTTCACCATCTTGATCATCTTTATTCCACCATTCTGTCCAGTTACACAGAGGTGCATGTCTAGGTTCTAAAACTGAGGTAAAAATAATCATAGTTAACATAGCACACCTTGTACTGTACCCAAGAAAATATTTAAGTATTTTTATCTTACTTATTCAAAAACAGCCTTTATTGTCATGTAATTGTAAGTCTATCACAAACATCAGAATCTACAGAAGTCTATAGTATCATGATAAAGAGCAGAATCTATAGAAATCTCAGGTATAATCAGACACAGCAGAACCTATAGAAGTCTTTGGTATAATCAGAAATAGCTGAATCTTTAGAAGATTCTACTAAAATGAAAAATAGTAGAATCTATAGAAGTCTCTGGTATGATCAGAAGCAGTAGAATCTATAGAAGTTTCTGGTATAATCAGAAGCAGCAGAATCTATAGAAGTCTCTGGTATAACCAGAAGCAGTAGAATCTATAGAAGTTTCTGGTATGATCAGAAGCAGTAGAATCTATAGAAGTCTCTGGTATGATCAGAAGCAGTAGAATCTATAAAAGTCTCTGGTATGATCAAAAGCAGTAGAATCTATAGAAGTCTCTGGTATGATCAAAAGCAGTGGAATCTATAGAAGTCTCTGGTATGATCAAAAGCAGTGGAATCTATAGAAGTCTCTGGTATGATCA